CCCCACCCCGGCACCAGGACCCCCGTCCACCCCGGGCATCTGGAGGCAGCTGCTTCCTTGCAAAATGCCCGCATGTCAAAGTTCGTGCATCCCGGTTGGACGCGCCCTCCCGGCCTGCTGGCTGCTGGCTCTGCAGTTTTCCAAATGCGGACGGAGCCGCGAGCCAGGAGAAAACTCCAAAGCGCCCCCGCTGGAACCACGCGGCCCGCCGCCCCGGCTCCCACCCACCGGCAGGCACACCCCCACCGCGGCGGCCGGCAAGTTTGTGGGGCCGTCCGGGCCGGCCGAGCAGGACTCACCGCGGAGCCCCTCCGGCCGGGCTGGCGGCAGCGGCAGCGGGCGCAGGGTCGCGGCTCCCGGTACGATGCGCCCGCGTGGCTCCCAGGGAGATGCTGCAGCCGTGGCGGCACCATCCACCTTCTCCCGGAGCCAATCGCAAATGCAGGGGTGGGGGAGGCCAGAGCTCCCGATGCGTCCGCACTTGGGGGGCGGGGGGGGGGGGCGGGCCCAGGCACAGGGAAAGAAGACACCACGCACCCCCCCCCGCACCGGCCCTCCCCCCCGCCCTCCCGCGGCCGCGCGGACTTAGCTGGAAGGGAGATCTTGAGAGGAGAGAGGGAGAGAGAGAGGGAGGGAGGGAGGGACCAGAGGCGCAGGACTGGCGGGCGATGCAGAGTTACGGAGGAGCCACCTCGAGCCCCTGCACCTTGAGCCCTCCCCGCGCTGGGCTGTGTCTGCAGACGCTCCCGCACCCCCAGCCGGGGTCAGCGCCAGGTAGAGGTCAGGGCGGAACAAAAGGGGACGGTCCCGTGGGTGTGCAGGCTCGCACATGCACACGGCCCTCCGCCGAGCCTCCCGCAGGCGGGGGAGGGGAGGGGATGGGAGGAGAGGGCTGACCCGAGGGGCCGGAGCGGGCATGGGGGCCCCCCTCGGGTCAGGAGCCCGCCTCACCTTTGCAGTCCTTATATACCCGGCCAAGCATCCCAAACACGCGGCCCCGGCCAAGTGGCCCCCTCGGGCTGTGCTCCCTGACCATATTTAGTCAAGCAGGGGAAAAAATAGCCTGTCAGCTGGGCCTCGGCTGGCCGGCCACCGGGAACAGGGTGGGAGCACCAGCGCCATTGACGGCCGGTCCTGGGCCCCGAGCTGCCGTCCTCGGCCCCCTCCGGCCCCTCCCCACGGGCCTCCCACCGGCGGTCCCCGCCCCCCCGCCCCCCCCCCCCCCCTGCTATTTTTAGCCCAGCCCAGGACAGAGGGGCCCTCTTGCAGCAGGAGCAGTGGCCTCCCGGGCCACACAGCCCGTTCCGGGGGTGCCCGGGGGAGACCCAGGCGGGGAGGCCGGCCGCCTCCACCCCGCTCTTGGCCTCTGGGGACGGGGCCCCACCCAGGCCACCCAGGGTCTCACTTGGTGCCCTTCTGGCCAGAATTGGGGGCCAGGTCAGGTGATGACAGAGCCACCGGGGTTTCCGGAGGCTCCCAAGCCAGCTCTGAGTGATGAGGACCACAGGTCACCTTGGACAGAAAGCCAGGCCACCCAGCTCACCGCCGGGTACCCCAGGCCCGCAACCGGGGGGCACGCGCTAGTGGGAGATCCTCGTGCACACTCTGGCTACGCTCAGAGCACCCCCATCCTGGGTCCGTGCCACAATGATGTAATGGGCATGTGCTGGGCACGGCCTGCAGGGGCCTGTCCCCACGGGGCCCGGACGCGGAGGCCAACTGTCCCCCACAGCCGTGTGAGCCGCGTGGGCCTCGTCTCCCCGGGGCCCCCAGGACGCCGGACGGACCCACTTCCCTGAAGGTGGGGGGCAGGGCCCACACGGGGTGCAGAGGGCTGCTAGCTTCACTGTCTGTGGAGTCCTGGCCACTAGAGTGCAGGCAGCAAGATGTTCTATTGTCCCAGAAAAGCCATGTCACAGACCTCCCTGCCTCCTGTGCCTTGAAGGCCTGGCCCGGCTGCGGGCGTGGGGAAGGGGTGTCCACACTTCTCGGGGCAGACTCCCATAGGCCCAGAGCTGCAGGGCCCCAGCCTGGGGGCAGGGGTGCCACGGGGAGGGTCTGCGAGGACCCCCACATAGGGACAGGGGCGGGCAGGGAGGGACATGCTGGCAAGCAGTGGCCACGCAGGCCCAGGAGATTGGGCAACGGCATGGGGTGGGGGGTGTCAGGCAGCGGCGGGGGGGGGGGGGGGGGGGCCCCCCCAAAACTCTGCGCGTCTGGGGGCCCCCCCGGGGGGCCCACTGGGGGGGGCAGTCGGGCCCTGCTCACAGGCCTGCAACCCCAGCTGAGGGGGCCTGGGTTCGTGCACCCAGGGGAGGTGGGGACCCTGAGAGGTTTCAAGCTTTGGTCGAAGTGCTTTTCTGAAAGCAGCCGTTTGGCCCCCCGACAGTGAGGGGGTGTCTGCAGTGCCCCTGCACATGCCCCTGTCCCCTCGGTGGGCAGGGGTGGGGACAGGAGGGCGTCATAGAGCTTGGCCAAGGAGGTCAAGGCAGCCAGGGCCCTAGGTGGGCGAGGGAGGGTGGCGAAAATGACAGCAAAGACAGTCCAAGGCGATGGGGGCGGGGAGAGTGCGTGGAAGAGACCCCACCATAAACCACCCAGATAGTCACCCTCCCGATGGCAGCCCGGCATGCACACACAAGGGCTGCCTCCCCCTGGAAGAAAGGCTGGTTGGGTGGCCGGTGCCCAGGGGTCCCCAAGGTCTCAAGGACAAAGCCAGATGACAGGGCACTCTATTCATTTATCCACAACACCGGCATCTCCAGGTATTCCGGAAACTTCTGTGTGGATTATGCGCGGATCTTCAAAGCATCGCTAAGAGGCGGGCCTCCTGTCATCCCCACTTGGCGAGAAGGTAGGAGCAGGTCAGAGGGAGCAGACTCGCCCGAGGTCCCAGGGCGGGGGCGGCGCTGGGCAGTGGCCCCCCGCTGTCCTCCAGAGCCCCTTGCCCGGAGGGTCAAGACCGACCCGGTGCCCTCTGCGTCGGATGCTGATGGAACCCCCACCCCAGGGAGACCGCCACATGTTGGAGACACGTGGAAGGTGGCAGGTGTTGCCCCTCGGTGGGTGCGGATGAACCCAGCAGCGGCCAGCAAGCCCCACAGTCCGCCTCCCTCCTTCGTTCATCAACAAGAGCCCAGGGGCCCGCCTGGCACCCGCCGGGGCCACGGGGGCCGGGCCACGCACCATCTAGGGGAACGTTCCAGCACAGGCAGGTGCACTGCCCTCACCAAACGGGGCCACCTGGCGCTTGTGGCTGCTGAGGTCTCGAAACGGGGCTCGTGCAACCGACCCCAACCTTGGATTTGATTTGATTTAATTAATTTTGGTTTCAGTAGCCACATCCGAACAGCTGTGCTGGGCACGGACGGCAGGGGTGTGGAGTCAAATAAGCCTGTTCACGATGCTGCGTGCTGAGGGGCTCTGGGAGGGAGGGTTTGGGGGAGGGATGGGTGGGGCCTGGGTGGCCATGTAGGTGAGAGGTCAGGGAGGCTCCTGTGGAGGCTGAACAGGGGCCCAGAGGGGCACCCAAGCCTGGCCCGCCCAGGACAGCAAGGGCGGGCAGGTGGGCCGATGGTGGCGCTGCCCTGGCGCAGGGGTGACGGCGGGGCTGGCTGGGCCGTCAGGAGCCCCAGGCCACCTCGGCTGCCACTCGGACCCACGGCGCCACGTGCAGCGGGGAGAGGCACCGAGGTTCTGGCCGGCTCTGGAAGAGCCTGCCCTCCAGCTCTGTCGCGGCGTGGAGGGCGGTCAGGCAAGCGGACCCCAGGAGGACCGGGCGCTCTCCCGGGAGCGAGAAGGGGGGTGTCGCAGAGGGGAGGCGAGAGTGGGCGCGGGGCTCAGCCCCGACGGGAGGGCCTGGAAAATGGCCTGTCCCCGCCGGAGCAGGAGGCCCTGAGCGGGCGTGAGGAAGGACACCCCTGCGCAGAGGCTGCTGCAGACCCCAGAGGAGGTCCCCAGGGGCCCGCCTGGGGGTGAGGAGTCCCCGGGGAGGGGCCTCTGGCATCCGGGCGGCTGGAAGCCGTGCGGTTTCTGGGCCGCGGGGCCTCTCGCCCGTCGAGCTGAGCGGAGGGCGGAGGGGCCACTGGAGACGAGCCGTTTCCTGGAAGCTCGGACGACAGTAATGGAGCCGGGAGCGCCCCCGGGAGCAGTGGCTTCTGACTGAGAGCTTTTCCTGGAGCGCCATCCCTGGGGGCGCGGGCCGGGGTGGGAGGCGGGTGGGGGGGCGGCCCTGGTGTGCAGCCCGCCCTGGGGAGACAGAGGGGTGCGGCGTCCCTGAGGCCCCGCCAGGTGGCCCCGTGAGGTGCGGGAGGGCGCCACGGTGGGGGGGGTGGGGGCCGGAGAGGCCACTCCCTGACTCCCCGAGACTCAGCTTCCCCATGGGTCAAGTGGGGCCATGGCCCGTGGGCGTGATGAGGCCGAGCCCCTGCAGGAAGCCTCAGTGGGGTGGGGGCAGGGTCAGTGCTGCGGCGTTAGTTCAAGAAAAGCCCCCCCGGACAGGACTGTTCTATCCCTCACCTTCCTGTCTTCTGCACTCAGAGGGATCTACTGAAGGAATGAATGAGTGAACGAGTGAATGACTCCATCAACAGGTCCTCGATACATCTGCGACTAGACTGGGGCAGTGAGGAGGCACGTGGGGGCCGGTGGGGAGGCACGTGGGGGGCGGTGGGGGGGCGCGGGGGGGGGGGGGGGGAGGCATGGCTAGAACCATGTTACTGTGTGTTCAGTTTTGGGGTTAGAGGTGAGGCTGGGGTGTCTGGAGGGAGTAGGGGCAAGGCAGGGCCAGTGCCCTGGGAGGATCAGGCCACAGTCAGATGTGGGGCTCCCCTGACCCCTGCCTGGGTGCCTCTTGTCCCCAGCTATGTCCCTCTGAGGAGACTTGGCTTTTGGTCATTTTGTCCACAAATCTTTAAGTAAAATGAAACGAAACCCAGGTTTTATTTTACAATTTGGTTGTACTTTCAGACTGTGGCCAACACGCCCTGCCATGGCCTCTGTTAAGGTAAGCGGAGCTCCCCCAACAAAAGCGACGGGCGGAGGACTGGACGTGCGGATGGCCAGCAGGCCTACGAAGAGATGCTCAGTGTCATCGGCGAAAAGCAAGTCAAAGCCACGGCGAGACACCATCTCTCACCCACCGGGACGGCTGCAAAGCCAACAAAAGCCGAAAACCAGAAAATAACAAGGGTCGGCGAAGACGAGGCAAAACTGGACGTGGAGATGTTACAGGTGAGAATGTAGGACAGTAACAGTGGCCACCGCGGAGCGAGGTCTGTGGCTCCTGCAAACTGCGACCCCCCCCCCACCCACCCCGGGCTCGGCCGGAAGAAAGAAGGCAGGGACTGAGATGCACCCCACCCCCACCGCGTCCCCGAGCGCAGGAGCCCAAACCACCCGACTGCCGTCTGTCTGTCCGTCTGTCGTGTGCTGGTTGGTAAATCCGACCACAGAAAGGACTGCGACACGGGGGAGGTGAGAAAACAAGACGCCTCGGCTGCGAAGTGTCCAGAACAGACAGCACAGGGAGGGCTGGGGGCGGGGATGCCCCGCAGACTGGCCGCTTAATGGATGCCGGCCTCCTCTAGAGGGTGAGAACGTTCTGGAACGAGGAGGGGAGGCTGCCCAGCACTGTGAGTGTGCTAACTGCCGCTTGGCTATTCACCCTAAAGTGTCTGGGGTTTTGTCTCGTGATTTTCACCTCAATAAAAAAACAACAAAGGTAAGTGGAGGCCAGGGTCAGCCGCACCCTGTGTCCCCATGGTCCCCCAGCACCTGGAGTCGGGGCTGCCCCACGCTGGGCACTTCGGCTCTCCCAGCGCCCCTCCCGTGAGGGAATAAATGTGTGTTGTGTTAACGCATGCGGCCCTGTGTTACAGCACTGCCTGTGCCCCTCGGTCTAGGAGACCCTCCTAGCTGGACGGGGAGGGGGCCAGCACGGAGGACGAGCGAGCCAGGGGCAGTCGAGGGGTACCGTGACCCCAGAGATGCCCACATGTTGCTCTGGGAGAGCAGGACCGGCTGCTGTGGGTCAGGAAGACCACCGGGCTGGGGAGGGGTGATTGGTCAGCACTGCTCACAAGCAGGGGGAGCCTGGGAAGGGCTCATCCGGCTCTTGAGGGAGGCGAGGTACCCAGAGCCTGCCCGGCTTCCAGCAGCTTCCTGTGCCCTGGGCCAGTGTGGGGGCTGCACGAAGCCAGCATGGCCATCGGAGACCATGGTCCCCGGACTGGGCCCGGCCTTGGTGCTCCAACTCACACGCACACGTGCACACAGACACACGCACACACACGCACGTGTGCACACAGCAAAACAAATGTGCATACATCGCCATAATGGCAGCGGGAAACCCTCCCTGACAGCTCGTAAAGAAGTTATATTTCATTGCCATGATGTCAGCAGAGAGCAATTTGTTTCCAGAGATGTCGCATCCAGAATGGTGACAGCTTTACCATCATAGGGGCGTGGTTCGTGGTTCACTTCAGGGGGCCTGGCCCATGCGGTGCACCGGGGGCCTCGGGAGATGGCTCGCACCGGGTGGCCTGGGACCTGCCCCGTGATGCGGCCCCACCAACACCGAGCTCCGGGGCAGGAGGAGGACAGTCCCAAGGGGTGAGGCGGGGCAGGAGGGGAGATGGGGGGTCCGGGCCGGTGCTGTCCCCGGGGGCTCTGAGGCTGAGATCCTGCTGGATCAACACTCTGACTTCTCCCCCCTCACCGTCTCCTCTGGCCCCTCAGGCTGTCATTGGGGGTGACAAGGGCTGTGCCGGCCTTGAAGCCTGTCCGCTCTTCAGGACTCCCATGGACCCCTCTCAGAAGGGAAGGAAGCTTAGCTGGCATGGGGCCCTCTGAGCCTGCCCCCTGCAACCCTTGACCTTCCCCACAGATGCACCCAGAAGGCCCCGGGGAAGTATTTTCTGGATCAAGAAACAGATTCCTGTTTCTAGGGAGAAGGAGGCTCCTGAGCACAAAGACCTGGAGACTGGGCAGGGGATGGGGTGAGGGGACGGCCCAGGGGCCATTTCTTTCTTCTTTTTTAACGTTTATTTATTTTTGTGTGAGAGACAGAGAGAGAGTAAGCGATCGAGGGAGGGGCAGAGAGAGAGGGAGACACGGAATCCGAAGCAGCTCCAGGCTCCAAGCTGTCGGCACAGAGCCTGATGTGGGGCTCAAACCCACGAACTGTGAGATCGTGACCCGAGCTGAAGTCGGACACTTAACCGACTGGCTGCATTTTACAAAACCTTAAACGCGAAAACTCAGCCACAGCAGGGATGCAGCCCTCAGAACGAGCTTTCAAACAGGAGCACATCTCCACCGACAGACATCGTCACCCAGCAGAACTGGGGGACTGCCTGAAACCCCCTAGGGTGGGCCCGCCACCTGCTTGTACACATTTCTCCCCTTCTGCGGGCTCCACCCCATCGTGGTCATTACTTGGCGGTCCCAGACCCTCTTCAGACACCTCTGAGGCCGTGGGAGACCCGGCGGGGGCCTGACCTGCTCTCCCTGGAGCTTGGGGACGTTGGGGATGGCCAGAGCAGGATGGACATCACCTTGGTGGCCAGGGGGCTGCGGCAGGTGGGGGCCGGCTCGGCTGGCTGCGGGCCCCTTGGGCTGGGAAGAAGCCCGGATGACCCATCACCCGGTGGCAACTGCGGGCAGGGGGACACGATGCCCAGCTCCACAGGCTGCCCGCACATCCACGAGCCTTGCTCTGCCCGGCACGTGGGAAGAGGGCCCAGCTCTTAGGGACGCGGAGAATAGACAGGAAGCCCTTGGTCTGGCTGTTCTGTGGCCTGGAAACCTTCTCGCCACACCTCACACCTTCCTCTTCTTCTGAGCTGGGCGGAGGCCTCCCCCCCACCCCCCTCTTTGCACAAAAGGAGACCCGGCTTAGCCCTCAGAAGTTCTCCCGATGCATCAACAGAATCGCCTGCAGGAGAAACGTCTGGGAGCACTTAGCTCCGAACGCCCTCACTATCGGAAAGGAGGCCGCGACCCCGTCCAGGAGAGCCAGCCTCGCTTTCCTGTGCACAGACTCCTGGGAAGCGGTGCGGGACCCGCGTTTGGCAAAGCGGACTCCCCGGGTCCGATGTCCGGCTGCTCCCTGCCGTCCCAGCCGTTCCCACCCCACTCTGGTGGTGCCTGAGGGGCACCTGTTCCCTGCCCCTCTCCCCTCGCTGGGACTCAGCTGAGGAGGTGGAGGAGACCTCAGAGGACCGCTCCTCTCCAAGGCGGACCCCGGGCGCCCCTGGGGTGCACGGTTCCAGCTGCCCTGCCGGATGTCCGAGGGCCACCGGGGTCCCGGCTCCTGGTCACACAGGATCCTGCAGGCAGGCCCCTGGCTCCCAGAGCAGGCGCAGTAGAGGACGCGGAGGGCAGGGTCCTAAGAACGTCCCCAGAGCCCCTGACTGCCTTGGACCATCAGCACCAGGCTGCCACCTGCTTGGCTGAGCTCTCCTGGGGGTCTCCTCCTCGTGTCCGCGCTGGGAGCACGGCCAGGAGCCCCGGGATGAAGGGCGAGGCTTATCTCTCTCACACGCTGTCGCCAGAAGCCGAGGGGTGTTGATCCAACAGGATCTCAGCCACAATTAGCCTGTTCCCTCATTCTTGCCCTATAAATATCCATTCTGAGATTGTCATAAAGGTGCTTTAAAAAAAAAAAAAAAAAAAAAAAAGGGCCAAACCCGTTTGGAGCAAGGAATCAGCTGCCAAGTGAGTCCCACCGCAGAGACCGTGGAGATGCTGCCCCCAGACGGCTTTTCTCAAGGGCCAATGCGGGTGCTCTCTGGGGTTCTGCTTAATTTGGGGTGGGGGTTCCGGTCCCCTGCATCTAGCATTTATAAATGTCACTGTGTGCTCCGGAAATGCTGTGCGTGGGGACAGTGTCCCTGCAGGGGGTGGCCAGGCCCCACAGCCATGGGAAAGGTGTGCCAGCCACCCACGGGCCACACCCCCACCTCCGGGCCCGGGTCAGACACAGGGGGCTCGTGGCCACACCCCTGCCCCAGGACCCACGTCATGCACACGGGGGTCGGGAAATCGGGGTGCCATCACAGGGCCAGGCAGCCGGGCTCCCCCAGAAGTCCTCCAGGCGGGGCCCCCGTGGCGCCTGTGGCCAGTGTATGTCCCCTTCCTCATGGAGCCCTTTAAGCCTCAGAGGTTGCTCCCTCCACAAGGAGCCCATCCCCGGAAGCCAAGGGTAGTTTCCTTCTCTTTCATTATCGCTGACTTTTTCAGGAGCGTTAGAGTGGCCTGCCCACTCACACAGGGGCCGCGGGGCCAAAGGGGTCCTGGCCCAGCCCCAGGACCCTCAGCCACCCACAAATCTCCATCTCACCCAGAACCCCATCGATTCACCTCAGTCCCTACCTCAGATGATGGCGGCGGTGGTGGTGGTGGCGGTGACGGTGTGTCGGGCTTTTGCTTGCCTGCTGAGAGGCTGCCCCTGCCTTGCCCCCCAGGTCCAGCTCCTGCCTCTGCCTCTCATTAACATGAGTTGGGTGGGCACCGCCCGGCCCGGCAGGCAGGTCTTGTTAGGAAGTGAGGACCCCGCTGACCTTCAGATTCGGACCCTACATTCCCCCGGGGGGTAGGTATCCCAGCGCCTGGCCTAGGGCAACCCCTCCTGCCGCCCGTGCTCAAGGCTCCCCCTGGCTGGGTCCCCAGAACAGAACCTACCGAACGTGCACCTGCACGCACCAGCCTGAGCACACCCCGACAGCTGCCTCTTGCCCGGGCTGCCACCCCTCCTTCCCCTGGAGCACCCCCGCTTGCCTCCGCCCCCGGTTTCTAAGCAGCCAGAAATGGAAGCCCCAAGCCTGGGGGTGGCCACACCCTGGAATGTCTGGAGGACGTTTTGCCTTCTTGACAACAGATTTTCCTCATCCCGGGTTTGCGGACATCGAGAACTAGCCTGCCTGAAGGGAGCTGTCCCGTTTAACAAATGGATCTCGGCTCGGTCCTGATGGATGCCTTTGCCTGATCGTAAAACTCCGGAGGAAGTCAAATTCGGGTTCTCAAAACCTTGGAGATATTCCTTGAATTTATTATGTGACCTGATAAATTATTGAATCTGAGTCCTCAAGTAGCTTTAACAGGCACAGCAGACCGGAGACACTGAATGTCCCCTGGATGTGGGGGACCCGCCAGCTACACTTTAAGGTTCCCACCAGAAAACTCTTCTGGGAACTCGGGCTGAGTATCCGAGCATCCCAGGGAAGCCCTTCTGGGGTCAGAGGGCAGCAAAGCCTGAGAGGTCCCCCAGGGCGGCCTCTGGGACCCTTCCATCTCCATCAGCGCAAGGTCGTTTCGTTTCCCTGGCCAGCCCTCCCTCCTGGGGAACGAGGGCTCAGAGTCCTCAACTCCCTTTGCACACACACCTGTTGGTGGCAGAATCCCGTCCCCCTCGAGTACACACCTTGTCATCCTCTCCCCTGGAGCAGAGGCAGGGCCCGCAGGGAAATCACTTCTGAGATTAGGGCACCAATCAGGCCACTGCAAGTTCATCAATGAGAGCAATCTCCTGGGTGGGTCTGGCCTAATCAGGCAAAGCCTTTAAAAGGAACAGCATCGGAAAGATGCCATCCGGATGGTCTCAGAGAAGGAAGCCAATGGCAAGGTAGTGACCTCCCTTTGGGGGCCACGTGGCAAGGGCCTACAGGTGGCCCCTGGCCCACAGCCGGACAACAAGGGCCTCAGTCCTACACGCACAAGGAACTGAACGCTGCTGACGCCCTGAACGAGCTGGGAAGAAGCCCCGAGCCTCAGAAAGAAGCCAGCCCCAGCCGGCGAGGTCGGGCAGAGGAGCCGGCCACGCCGCGCGGCGCTCCTGCCCCACAGAAACTGCGACAT